GAATTATAAGAATTAATCTGAAAAAAATACAATTACGATGAATTCTTGTATATAATTACTAAAATTTTTGAAGAATTTTTTTTGTATTACTGAAATGCTTTTTGCAATTATGAAAAAAAAATCTTTTCAAACTTTAGAACTATCGGAAGTAATGAGAATTACAGAAATTATTTTGGAATTTAAAATTTAATTGGAATTACAGGAACTATTTTGGAATTTTGAAAATTAAGTTCAAATTACGGAAATTGAGCAGAAAAAAAGTTGAAATTACGAGATTAATTTGGAGTTATAGTAATTAATATGAAAACAATAAAATTACTGGAATTATTGGTAAACTGAAATTTCTCTGAAATTACTGAAATTCTTTACTAGATTTCTATTGGAATTATAGAAAATCTTTTTTTTATAAATTCCATGATTACTAAAATTTTGGAAGAACTTTTTTGGAATTACTATAATTTTGGAAGATTTTTTTTGGAATTACTGAAATGGTTTGTGTAATTATGAAAAATAATTTAATTGGAATTAGAGGAACTATTTTGAAATTTTGAAAATTAAATTCAAATTACAGAAATTGAGCAGAAAAAAATTTGGAATTACGGAAATTGGAGTTATAGTAATTAATCTGAAAACAATAAAATTACTCGAATTATTTGTAAATTACTGGAATTTCTCTAAAATTACTCAAATTCTTTACAAGAATTCTATTGGAATTATAGGAAAAAAAAAAATTGAAATGGAATTATGGTACATAATTTTTTGGAATTACTGAAATGCTTTTAGAATTATAAAAAAAATTCTTTTCAAACTTACGTTGAATTTTTTAGAACTATCGCAAATAATGTGCAATTATAAAAATTAAATTGTAATTACAGGAATTACTTTGAAATTACGAAAATTAAGCAGAAAAAAGTTGTAATTACAGGAATTGATTTGAATTTATAGAAATTAATCTGAAAACAATCAAATTACTAGGATTATTTGTAAATTACTAGAATCTATTTGGGATTATGGGAAATATTTCTTTTAAATTGGAATTATATCAATTACTATTGAATTACTTACTTGTGTGGAAAGACACAGGGGGGCACACATCGATCCTCGGCCTCTGAATGGCAAAATGTCGGAAAGCGGTGGGGTCCCGGTACCCCTCCCTTAGACTAATAGAGGGGCCCTCAAAAGGTACCCCAATTGGGGATTCGATGGCAGGCATCAACTTTCGGTATTGTTTCGCTTCGAGTCCTTTTTTATTATAATCAATTTGATAAATTGTGAGCATTTTATCATCATAGGTGTCACAAGGATGATCCAAAACTTCCCCTGCTAAAATTGACATTTCTTTACCCAAACATTGTAATTCTTCTCTTAGCATTTTTTCCTTATCGGCCAACATTTTATATCGTCCCATTTGGGGCTCATATCGATGGGCATCGCAATGACAAAACGGTTCAATTAATTTCGCAACGTAGAAATTGTTGGGTTTTGTGGTAATTGGGGGTTGGGCAGGTCTGGAAAAAAACCATTAAATGATGGGGTTGAAAAATGGGACACTTACTTGGCCACTGAGGGGACAAAACTGGGCCATTTGTAATCTTTCCGGTAATTAGTCAAGAAAGTTTCCTTATCTACGGTCATTTTGACTGGGAATTTAGTTTTTTGGCTTTGTTATTGTTTTTGACACACAAACATGCTAATCGACGATAATTTAGGACGGAGAAGACCAAACAAATACTTAACAAATAAATAACACACGAAATTTTGTGACAATCGTGTCAAAATTGTAACAAAATCCATTTTTGAAAAAATACAAATTGTTTTTGGACGACGCTAACTAGATTATTTTTTTCGGGAGTGTGTAATGGATTATCATTTTATCAACATTAATTTAGAATTATAGGAAATAATCTGAAAACAATAGAATTAGAATATATAAATTACTGTTTTTTTTTTTGGAATTACTGGAATCTTTTTTAGAGACAATTCCTGTTGAAATTACGTTAAATTTCTTAGGGTTATTGAAATTAACTTGAAATTACGAAAATTATTTAGTAATTGGAAAAATTAAGTTGAAATTACGGAA